AAGTGTTGACTTTGTGTAAAGACTCGCATTTCCCAGATTTCTCAGATTTCACAGTTACCATATTATACTCTAACTGAGAATTTGACCAGGTAAAAATTAAGTGTCAACATAATGGTTAAGAAAACTAAGTTTCAACTGGTTAAAGCTAATCTCCTGAACACATATATGACTGTGTCATGGGACAAGAGTGCCAAGATTGGATGCAACTGCTGTAAAATATTCAAATGTCTGCCTGCCTCAACAACAACAACAAAAGCAGGTGACTGAGTTGAAATTAGTTTTTTTTTTCCAAACTGATCACTATAGTTATTGCAAAGTGCATTATTAAAGCTTGGAGTTTGCCAATTTCAACATGAGTATTAGTTATTACCTTCATCAAGGTCATCGCATTCATAGAAATCATTGTCATAGTTGTCCTCAACAGACTCATCATCATCATCATCATCATTCTCCTCCATGTCGTCATCTTCTTCTTCTGCATCTTCATCTTCTTCAGCAATATCAGAGATACATCCATCGCCCGGCATACGCTCCCATGACGGACACCTTGACTTCTCGTAAAATTCCTCATTCTCTAGTGATTCTCCATCTCCGCTAACCCTGCTTTCGTCAACAACACTGTCTTTTTTTCTTACGTCGTAAAACTTTCTCACCATATAATTCTTTCCACGAGGCTCTGTAGGAGGCGCTGGCTTAATGTTCTGATCATCAGTTCTCCTGCTGTTCTGAAAGCCGACCGACTTTCGGTTTTGAGGGGGATGCGGCATGAACTTGAACGATTTCTGTGGGCTAATAGGCTGCGATTTGAGAACAGGCGGCGTCGCTTTTGCTCTGGATAACTTGCTCAAATGATTAGTAATCTGAATCCCGTTGAGCTTCGAAGATAAAGCTTTATCAAGCTGTACCTTGGAATTCATGACTTCGTCCTCAAAAGCACCCCTCAGTAAAACGTAAAAACATGAACAATAGATGTGACGCCTTCGTGTTGATACGCTTTCACTTCCAACAACGTGCAAAGTAAATAACTTGTGTGGCTCGAAGTTTTAGCGTGATCAATACATTTTTACGGAGTTTAAATACACGTTTCGAGGCTATAATTGTTCTAAAGAATTATCGTAGCAAAACAACTTTCCGACGGTGAAATACGAAATATTTCTCTCCTCTGACCTGATTGCTGACAGTTCGAAAGACTCACGTTTCTCAGTGCATTGTCTAACAAATGAGGGTTACTTTAACTGGAGAGGCTAACAAACATTTCTTACCGTTGCCAATGATTTGAAGCACAACAAAAAGAAGCTGTAGTAAAAATTGTTTTTGTAAAGAAATAAAAATTAAAGCTGGTACCACCAGGTGTACAGTGTAGATGCTGAAAAACAGATACTTGGATTTGAAGGTCGATTCGAAATGTTTCGCCTTGTATCTTAATTTTCGTGATAAATCGACTTCATAGAGACCTGAATATCCTCTGATTAGCTCTTGACGACTTTGAGATCCAAAGCAGAGTTAGACTTCGAAATCTGACGTCTTCACACTCTCAAATAAAGCAGTCAAAACCAATACAATCCTTTACTTACTGGTTTGAATAGCTGAAGAATTCTTCAATGTCATTAATTTGACGTGATAATTCTTTCGTCAAATAATTCCCTGATTAGCTCACCAATCTAGCGTTAAAGCCACAAATTTCTTCTACAGAATCCACTCTCTACGATGGACTCTACAAATCTGTTGATTTTGTCCTTACCAGTTGTTGTTTACCCTTCGAATTCACTCCGATGATCAACTTTAGACGATGAAAAGTTACAAACGGTGTGATCGATAATGGACCAAGGAAAAGTCGTTGATCGTTCAAAACAAAACGCTGTACCTCGTAAAAAGCTTTCAGATTCGCAATTACAGTCTTTCAGATCAAAGGAACAAAGTCAAAAGCCAAGTTTCGCAGCTCACATAAATCTCGAAACTCACTCTATTTCTGCGCCGGGTAAACTGGGCAAACTTTGTTGATAACCGTGGCAACGAATCGACCAATCACAGCGACGTGCTTCGCAAAGCACAATGCCCCTTACAGCGTCAGGGCACTCATCCGGCTTAAATGATATAATATAATTGTGTTTTAGCAGTATTCAGACGGAAGATTAGCTAACAGACAATATAAAAAATAAAACTAAATCCCTCCATATCCAAATTAGACTTCGGCTGGTCAACAAAGAGTTATTTTACAATTTTAAAGAGATCATATTTTGAGACTTTAATAACATACAAGGAAGTACTGACGGGTGTTTAATGTTTTCTCCTAAAATATTGATGATATTTTATCAATATGAGGAGAGGATAGCGCGGAAGTTGTACTCTGATTGGCCACTCAAACTTAGAATATTCTTTGTTTCTCTAATTCTAGCAACGCCGAAAATATTGTAATCGTTGCAGGAAAAAATCATTTTTCTTTTGCCATAATACATCACTGTTTTAGTACATCCTAAAACAGAAACTCACCTCAGTGTCAGCGCCACTTCGGGGCACCACAAGCCACCTCCACAATATTCGGTGAACAGTCGTTAAAAATAATGATAAAAATGGAATGAAATAGCGTAAGTTTTTTATTATTATTATTATTATTATTATTATTATTATTATTATTATTATTATTATTATTATTATTATTATTGAATGGGGAGGGGAGTGTTATTTTTTAAGTGAAGATCGTCACAAAAATTTTGTCTGGAAGGCTGTTTGATGAGGTCAAAATTCGAGTTAAACCCACACGACAAAGTCAAAAAAAATTTACTCCAGGTTAATGCTGTGATAAGTTACTACTTTCGATCTTGACATCTTCCAGTGTAATGAACAGTTTCGAAGGTAAGTGTTTCCACATTCTACTCCAAGAACCACACTTGGTTTTAATCTACACCAAATCAGGGGCGCGGCTAGCTGCGCAGCATGTGGCCTCATGTGTAGCCAGCAAAAGAGGCGTAATTTTGGCCAGCGAGTGCTCAGTAATTTCATAACGAATACTATGGCCGCCATTTTTTATTTTAACGGCAGCGGAAGGCTGGGGAGAGAAATAAATTTGTACCAAGGGGGCGGTCGACGGTCAAAAATAAGGAGAGGGGTGGGTGTGGGGGAGTGGTTTTTTTTTTTTTTTTTTTTTTTTTCCCTTCCCCCGCCCCCTACCCCCACCGTCCACTCTAACTGCAAATCAAACATGGTCGATCAAATAAACGATCGCGAGCTTTTAACGTTAGCTCGCACTAACAAGACGCCTGATTGCCCAAATTTTCAAACACCCAGGAGAGTTACAATTCGATGTAAAAATATGAAACCTATCCAAATGATAAAACACGATGAATGATGATTTTAGATATATGAAATTCATGTATTTGCACTGCGGTGAAAAAACGAAATTAAGAGATCCTCGCAGCTAGGAACACTATTTTCAGTTACTCGTTTCAGTAGTGTTCTCAGCTGCGAGGATCTCTTAATTTCGTCAAAACACGATGAATTGCTTTTTTTCATGGCGAATCAAAAGGGAAACAGAGTAAAAAGATAGACTTTCCATGATATAATGAAGCTAACACTTGATTCTTTTTACAACTAGGTTTATTTATAATAATTAATTTTACAAATCAAAGTGAAATGTGAGAGATGGGGAAAACAAATCATGCAACTCAAAACTTTACAATTTTCCAAATTTTATATCGCAGAAATTTGAAAGGGAAAAAATGAAGCGATTACGTTGCTCTTTTCCCAGGTAAAGCTATGCAGTGACGTTAAACTTAATGAGTCCCAGTCTCTTTACGTTTGGTTACTAATCAGCGCTGATATGAATCGTAAGAGGAAAGTGACGCATGCGGCCTGAAAACCACCTGACATAACCAACAGCGTTTGAATCACTGTTAATACAGATGGTGGAAAAAGGCTGAATATTGAAAAATGATGATAATAAAATAAAGTGAACGAAAGAAAGAAAGAAAGAAAAGAAAAAAAGGAAACAATGAAGGAGAAAAAAAAAGAAGAAAAGAAAAAACAGAAATTAAAACCGAATTACAAAATACCTAAAATACCCTAGTTAAAATCTAAAATTCATAAAAAATACCTAAAAAAACTAAAACCTACCGACCTAAAAACAAAATGAAAAAGCTATAAAAAAAAGGAGAAAAAGAAGAGAGAACTGAAAAGACAGAAAAGAAAAAGAGTGCAGTGCCAAAGGCAAAATGTTCAGTTACGTGCAGTGACTCTGTGACCGCATACGTCACCTCCATTACAAATGATTCTGAATCAACGTATCTGATTGGACGAAACATAACCATTAGATTGAAATTAACACGCAAAGCATGACGTCGCCTTAGATCTTGCTAGCTTCCCCTTTGCAGAACACAGCGTAATCGGAAAAAAACCATAAAAATGTGATGATGAAAATATATCTAGTCAGGTCTGCTCTTTTAACCTTAACTCTGAACTTAAGATATTACAATACAAAAGAAGTATTTACGTAATCATGAAATAATTACGAGCAATAAAAAAAGAGAAAAAAAATGAATAAACATTACTCATGATAAAAAAACGAAAATATTTACAACAGTACAATCAAATGAATTCATAATAGTTATGTACATGACTAATGTTTGACATGCGAAATATTCTCGCTATTCACAGATAATATCTGAATAATTCTCTTGGGTTAAGAACTTTGCATTGAAAAATGAAACTGCCGGCTTAACTAAAGTGATTGGCAGAATTTAGAGATTTACAAAGGATTTCAAGTCATATATGAACATATTACAACACAACCCAAGCCAAAAATAAGTAAATTCTTGTAAAATCAAAACTGCAAAAACAGGAAAACAAAAAGCAGAATTAGCCATTGTTACCGTAATGAATAAGTGTAATCAAAATGATCTGTGGCAAACTCGTGGCAAAATACAAAGTCAGATTATGTGAAGAGAACCAGATGTGTTTAAATTCAAGTTAATTGCACGTTTCTTACTTTTGATAAAGTTTTCCATTCAGGCCATGTTGGCCAACTTGAGGATAAGATCCAAGACATTCTTCACCTGAGCTCTGTGCTCTTTTGTCTTCTTCCAACCTGCAGAAAACGTGAAAAACATCACTCACCACATGATGGAAGACAGGTCAAAGATTGCGAAAACACATTTGCTTGGGATACGTTACTAAATAGAACGATTACAAACACGGAATAGCTTTAAAAAAAAATAACTGAGTCTCACTTTTGACTTCAACTAGGCATTTCAGGTCCTCACGTAAGAACTTCAAACACTCGTTCGGGTTTTCTTGTTTGGAACTAAATACAAAACGGACGAAAAATAAGGCACATTAAACGTAGTAAACTTTCAAGTAGAAAATACAGTGTGAATCATCAACGGCTCCTATCAACGCGATGGGCTCCTGTCAACGCTCAGTGATAATGTAAATACATTGAAGGAAAAATTGCTTGGAATTTGAGATCACATATACCGGAGCTAACAAATTCATTTTGATAAAGGAACATTTGATCGTGTGCCTCACGATCTCAGTAAGAGTCAGGCGAATCAATCGTGTTTGTTGCTGAGCTTTAGTTACCATCCCATAGCTGGGCTTGTTCACTTGTTCTAAACTGGTGCGCATGTTTTTAAAACAGCTTTGTAGTGTAAACAAGTACTTACAGAACAATAAGGTCTTTTTTCCTTTTGTTAAGTTCAGAACGGAACTTGTTGAGCGTCAACCAGTCAAGCGATAAGCTTTCAAACTCGGCCTCACAATCTACAAGCGGTAAAGAAGGCTGTATTGAATTTGTGTCCAATTAGTTACCCTTGCATCACCCGCCATATGCTGCAGAGGTATGACCGGATGATTACCTCTTCCGAGATCGGTATGACCGGAAGATTACCTCTTCTTAGATCGAGGCAAAACTTCTCTTGGAGCGTAGTGCGATCGAAGAAAGCTAAGGCCAGTACACTAGTTTCAGAGATTTAAAGAGATGCGGTGAGAGGAGAGTCAGTCTTCCATTTGGCGAGGGGGAACATTTGAAAGGAGGTCAGGGATTTCAGTGAGTCGCCCTCGAAAATGACTTTTATGCAAAAAAATGGTCGATTTTTCTGTATTTTCATCCGTAGAAACCCCACCCTGATGTTCCTCATCCACATTACGGGTGTAAACTGTGGAATTGTGGGCCGAATTGTAGCCAGGGCAAATTTAAGTTTGCCGCTTTCATTAAATTATTGTTAGTATCGATGTCTTGCACGATGTCAGCAAATACGTTCGTTCCCTATAATGCCCCAAGCAAAGAAAAAGACACGAGAAAACTAACCTTTAGTGTCCATTGCCTCTTTCATCTCTGATTGCAATTTAACCATCACCTTCTGCAGAGAGAGCAACTCGCTTTCGACAATCTGAAGTTCTGCATCCAGGTAAATGGCCAACTCTGGGCAATGATTCCTTGAATTGGAGGCTAAAAATAATTTTATAAAATATACGCGCTCAAATATTCAAAAGAGAAGGCGAATATAAACACAGTCCAATGAAGTTGATACTGAACCAGTTGAATCCCTTCAATTTATTCATGGAGTGGCATTGCATCTGATGCAATTAGCAGATGCATCTTCAGATACATTACCACTTTACGAATCAAAGTACTGGCAACAATCAAGAATCATTTTGAAGTTTACTTACGCGCAGATTTAAATGTTTCTAATGTCTCTTTTTTACGGTTCGGTAGATGAAGATGCACTACTTTATAATGCTTTTCCCTCTATAGGGTTTATTGTGCAGCATTCTTACAGCAAAAAGGAACTAGATTTCTGATCCCCTCTTCGTTTCAGTATTTGTCGTGCATGAGCAGATACATAAAAACTTACCAGATCCGTCTCCACCCTGGTACTCTTCCATATCATTAGCTTGCTCAGAGGGTTCTGCCTGCTTGAGGATCCTTCGACTGCCAACATCTGTAAATTCTTTGGCAGTCGAAGCATCAAGGTTTGTTGATCCGACACTCGCAGAGCTATTATCCTTGTTTGAGGAAGGGACATCGTCAGGAGAGATCTCCTTATCAGATGGGAATGACTGGGCCTTTGAGTCACCAGAATCTGTTCGCCCACCCTGTTCTTCGTTTTCATTGTTGGTTGCCAGACCTTGCTGTGTACTCTTTGCTTCCACCTCTTCTACTGTGGCAGTGTTCACCACAAACTGAATATCTTCCAATGAAGAAACAGACCATATGTCAGAAGTTTCGTTCCACTCCGAACACGAAGAGCTCCTCCCCTCATCGGAATCACTCAATGGATTGTATTTAATTGAGTGTTCTTCGCTTTTAGATGCTTTTCGTTTTCTTCTACGCCTTTGACGATGAGTGCGGGAGGGCTTCTCGCTCATCTCTTCAGCATCACTGGATGGATTGTCTTTCATTGGGTATTCTTCACTTTTAGATTCTTTCCGTTTTCTTCTAAGCCTTTGGCGACGAGCACTAGAGACCTTTTCCCTCATCTCATTAGTTTCAGTAAATGGATTTTTATCCATTGGATATTCTTCACTTTTAGAATTCTTTGGTCTTCTTCTGTGCCTTTGGCGACTAGGTCTAGAGGCCTTCTCGCTGTTCTGTGACGGGTAGTCATTATCGGTGGCACTGCTAAAATTTGCAAACGGGTTCAGATCCTTTGGGTATTTGCAAATCTCGTTTGCCTTCTTCTTAATAATTCTCGGTCCTTTGGCACCCTTTTTTCCAGGCTGCTTCATAGTCGGTGGAGGGGGGCGAGGTGGAGCCGCCTTACGAAGACGTGGTTGACGCGGTGGAGGGGGAGCTGGGCGCACCGGAATAGGACGAGACAGAACAGATTGGGATGGACTGGTATGAGAAACGGAAGGCCTTTCAGAAGTAGGCGGAGGTGGAGCTTTCTTGTTGACCTTTGTTGGTCCTGATCTTGTTTTGTTCCTTCGACACGAAGCCTTCTTAGGACTATCACCCTTAGTGTCAGCACCAGCTTTCCCTTGCCTCTTTTTCTCATGGTCACCAACCACGTCTGACAATGGAGCACGTGGAGCAGCAGAGGCCTCTGTGGTGGTCTCCTTGGAGCAGGCAGCATTACTGGTAACATTGCCATTGCGGTTTTCCTTCCGGAAGCTTTTTAAGGATCCTGGACGCGACAATTTTCTGCTTTCTTCCTTCGTGCTGTCTTCCTTGTCTGTGAGACTGTAGGATAATTACGAGGGTAAATTGAACTCATGTAATTTAAGGAAGTACCCTAACGACTCTAAGAGTAAGAAAGTAGAAATTAACTTAGTTTTTATGAATTTGCCTAGTCTCTAAGCCTTAAAAGGTGATTAAATTTTCTTGTTCATTTTTTCGCAAAATAGCGTTTCGAAAATTTGTGTTGTTTTCGTTGTCTTTACTCCAGTCAATTTCATTTTCCGAATCTCACCAATATTTTCAAGGGCTGTCCTGTGTCCTCGATTTCCGAAAAACACTTCATCGGCTTCTTAAAACTGAGATTTAGCGCGCCTCAATTAGACAAAAGAATCACTGGTTAAGTTAAAAATTTTATTGGTACGTCATTTAGTTTTCGTCCCAGACTTAAAAACAAACTGTTCGATATTTTCTTGCCTGTTTTGCAACTTAACTGATGTATTCTTTCACTACCTTTAAAGTGCAGAGAGCAAAAACTTTCTCCTAAATCTATTACACCCATGCTTATCGGTGAACCTTTCCGATGACCTTTTTTCTCCTTTTTCTCCACTTACCATTTGTCTTCGACACATTCCACAGTCGGAGAAGGAACCGAAGATCTCAAGTGTAATTCTTGATGGTTTTTACTTCGACCTCTTTTTCGCATTTTCTTCAAAAAACTCATGATTGCTTCCTTGTGGTCAAAACGATCATTGGCGTTTCAGAAGAATGAAAATCTCCTATTTATCCATTGTGATGTCATGTAGCCATGACGTCAACATATCATTCTCATTTTCAATGTGCTGCGTCACTATAAATATTTTATCGATATTTTATAAAAAAGAAAGTTATTACATTCTTTGAAAGAAATGATAGCTAGACGTGATACTGTAGGTAGCTTTCGCCGTAGAGAAAAAGCTGTGGTTGTTCCAAACTGATGTGCGCGCGCAAACCCCGTTGAGTTATGCGCGATGAAGATACGTACAACAAATTCTAGATACTGAAAGAGGATCGCCTCAAAATCCTGAGACATGTCGAAAATAGGTAAAATATTTGTAGTTCACTAATTGGGTACATTGGAATGAATATAGTTTTAAGTGAGTAACTGTAGGAGGCTTTGAGGAAGTCACCTCGCTTTACTCTTCGAGAAATGCTTGGCTTTTACGTTAAACTTACATGAGTAAATCAGCTATATGACATGATTTTTGACATTGTTTAATTTGTTGTAGGAATCTGCAGCGGGTCCAGAACAGCAGACTAAATTAAATTCTATAAGATCTCCGGACAGAAAACTGAAAGTAGTAAGTAATGAAGACAGCAGCTGTCTTGTCTGGTGATGGTCTTTATTCTTGTGGTTTTTCATCTGCGAATGTATTCGTTGCAGTATTTCTCAGTCAGATCCTCGACCATCACTTGCATATAGTTTTTTTTTTTTTACTGCTTTTGCTGTTTTTGTTTTTTTTTTTGCAGATAGAAATACGGATGGAAATAAAAAGCGCATTACCAAAAGAGCTCCAGGAAAAGTTCATGACGACAGACAGTGCTGTTTTACAAACAAAGAAACTCAATTCCGGAGAACATTACGCTGATCTTGACACCTCTTGAGTCAACTTTGTTTCTGGTATCATCAAATGTAATATATGTACGTAAAATATATTAAAGACTTATTTGATAAAGAAAAATAAAAAGGAAAGAAGTAATACAGCATTATGTCCAAACATTGTTTACACCGACGTGCGTTCCTCTTTGTTGGGCGGAGCCTGCCTTCAGAAAATGCGCTAGAAATGAAGGGAAGGTACGAGCTCTGTGGGCAAGAACTGAAAATCAAGAACTATATCGGGCTCGCATAGGTTCACACAATAAACTGAGGCTACGTTCACACGGCACCGGACGAATTTTCGACTGGACACTCTGTACACATCGAACCGTGTGAAAGTTTCGTTCTGTTCGGATGGCAAAAATTTTTTTTGGGATCACTTTCTGAAGGAGCTTAGACACCAGGCTCAATTAGGGAACCAAGCCTTTTGATGACGTGAACAATTTTTCACTCACCGCCCCCGACTGGTTGAAGTGTAGTTGGAGGGGGACAGGGAAGGAAACATTTTTGTTACTTGCGCGGGAAAAAAACAAATGAGAAGTTATCTATTACCTTTTTTTTTGTTGTTGTAATTTTCCAGAAAAAACAAATGGGAAGTTATCTATTACCTTTTTTCATAACTTTTGCAGGAAAAACAAATGGGAAGTTATCTATTACCTTTTTTTGTGTAATTTTCGCGGGAAATAATATTACCTTATCTCGCTCCGCTCCGTACATATACGAATCTTCTGCCTTTGGTTAAAATACACTTTCTTCGTTAATTCTAAACATTGCTCACGGTCAAATGGATCCAAAGGGAATTTCAAACCTTGGAAATACTTGCTTTCTGAATAGTGTCTTGCAAGCTCTGCTCTCAGTGACATGTTTTTCCGAAGGGCTCACTGGATTGCAGCACAATCGTAAGAAGTCTACCTCATCTAAAACAGGTCTTGAAAATGTATTCAATATTATTTTAGCACGTCAAAATAACATTGATATTGGAGTGGAAGACATAAAATCCCAGCAGGCAAACAACATCAACCCATCGGTGAACTGTGTAATTGAACCAAGTACTTTTTTAATGAACCACAAAATTCGTCATTAGTGTGGTAATCCGCTTAGTTATTCTCGACATTAAGCTTATTTCGACTTTATGAAACAACTGGTATCAGTCATATTAAAATACGTATTTGACAACTTGATAATCTTGTTAGAACGTCACAGGAAGTTGTACCTTGTACGGAGCTACGAGTAAAATGTGTAAGGCCTTTTCACTGTTTATGGCGGTAAATTTATATTAGTCCTGGAAGCTTTGCAAGTCGTAGTTCTTTGCTCGATTATTTTTTGACACTGTCGTGTTGCGCGTTCATCTAAAATGTGCGTGTACGAGTACTAGGAGTGCAAAGAGTGAAAACGGTACGCAAACCAAACACTTTCGACCCCTCCCCATCCCCCTCCCCCAGCCCCGCCCTCTGGACAAATGAGTAGTTTCTGCCAGCTGTAATCTCTCCTTCCTGCAATCCTTTTTCTTTGAGTTAAGGAGTGAAGTAATGTGCTCATCGTGTGATAATATTACTTCAAACACTACAATGGAAACAATTCTCCCTCTACATATTACAAAGGTATGGGGCAATTATAGTTACAAGGTCACAGTCACCTATGCCAATTTCCTTTGGATTAAATTAATTACAATCACAAACCTGTAGACAGCAAAATTAAATCCAGGAATGGTGTCCCTGCCACATGGATATTTTTGTTTTTGGTTTCTTTTTTTTTCTGAGGGGGGGCAGAGTTCAACCCCCCCCTCCCCTTTGAAAAATTCATTTCATGTCAAGCATTTCCTTAAAAAATTTTGGCACTTTTGGACCCCCTCTCCCCTGGAATTTTCAATGATCCTACTTGGGGTGGGAGTGTGTTGATCTTTCAATTCTTTCTAGAACTACACCTTTACTACACATTCTTTCTTACAAAAAGTAAATTTTGTGGTCAAAATGATCTCTTTAATAATCACTTCCACCCTTATAATTTTTCTTTTGCATGTGGGAGCATAAACATTGACAACAATGACAACAGTTCTATTTGCACCCAACATTTACATTTTTAGTTTAGCCAATAACTACAAGAAAAGTCAAATACTCATCACAAAGACAAGCTACCATAGTATTTCTGATACCCAATCACACACTTTATTAATCAGTATTATTCACACATTTATCCTGTTCCATTAGTGGTGTTTGTCTATTCATTCTTAAGGGTTGTACTGTACAGAGCTTCCTGAAGGACTATTCTAACCCAGTGGAGCTGGAATCATCTTATTACTGTAGCAGGTAACAAATTTTAATAGCATTAAACCTAACACCAAAAGGACACACAAATACAACTGTTTTTTTTTTTTATAACTGCTACAGTGCTTAACACTATAAACTACAATGCACAAAGCAGACTATTTTCTTCCAGTGCAAGAAATTAGGAATGTCAAAGCTACTACAATTGTACAAATTCAAGTTCTTATGCATGGATTGAAAAAAGTAGGAGATGCAGTCCCTGTTGCTGTGGCCTGGTCTCTGTGTCTGTGTGTTGTGAAGAATACAATTCATTCCTGTAATCAATTGAGAAAAGGCAAATAATGAAATAAAAATTCATGTTATCATTATTATTATTGTGTTTCAAACTTTACCACTTCCCTTCCCCAAAGCAGCTACATGTATACAGTACAGGGCCTTTTAAAAAGTCCTCAATGTTTAATGCCTCGAGGCTTGCTGGTTTGGCAGTCAGTGGAAAGGTAATGAAAGAAATACATTCAGTTGGATTCATATGATTATAATTAACATTCAAATATTGATTCTAACTCCACACTGACTCAAGATATAAAAAACAAGACATTGCATTATATATGGTGGCTTGATGCAAATGAGCCAAGAGAGCTTTTTTTGGGGGGTACATGATCATAAAAAAGCCCCATATTCTGTAGTTGTAAGTCATAGAGTGAAATTCAGTACTTTAACTATATTCAGTAGACCTCAATGCAGTTTTCAACACCACCTTAATGTCAAATAATTTTTGTGACAATTCTGTTATCATAAAAATATCAGTAATACTGCAAATTTAAGCAACAGTTGTACACGTTATAGGAAAATGATTCTTCTGTAAAAAATTTTTCTTCTAGCAGACTTAAATTTTCTGAAAAAAATAACATACAATGTATGGAAAAAACTATCACAAACAACAGGGCAGATTCAAGGAAAGGTACAGCCATAGCCACTATGAAGCAAACATCCCCACCACTCCCAAAATGCATTATCAGTTGCCTCAGATGTCCAGGATGTCCAGGCTGTCCAGGGAACAATTTAAACATTAAATAAGTTTTGCGTATTCAGATTAATTACTGCTAGGTGCATTATTTTGTGACAACGTACTTTAACAAGTTATATATTTTATATCACAAAAGCAAATAATTTCTGGTGTTATCGCTAATTGGGATATCAGATCAAGAAAGTATAAGGTTATCAATAAAGAGTTTAATTTTGGCTGAAGGTTTTTCGAGTTATTAATTTGACAATTCACTGTACGTTGTAAAATTACAAAGCAAAACACTAAATTTAGGTTGAAAAACACTAAAATACTTACTTACCTTCGGTCTCAAAACGTTTTTCACTTTACTGCTGTGAAAATTTGAGTTTGTGTTTACTACACGCCGATGTTTCTTGTATACTCCAATGTAACGACATAAGCTAGTGGCAAAAAAAGGTCACGCAAGTAAGCAAAGGCCTGGGCACAAATTCAGTAGGCTTGGCTACTGAGTTGAGCCTGGTTTCTAAGCTCCTTCAGAAAGTGATCCCAAAAAAAATTTTTGCGTTCGGATGGGACTGATAACAGGATTGATTTTGTGAAATTTGTGAGTGTTTTATCGTCTTATCATGCACAAAACGCTTCTTAACCCAGAGCAAAATGGCGTCCAGTGTTTTTGCTGCTTCGACGTCTTCGATTTAGTACGTGCGTGGTAAGTCCGGCATGGCTTACACATTTGCGAGATAATGTTATGCAATAAAGCTGTAATATTACCGAGCACCGCAATCAATAAACCAGCACGTTCCATCTTCGTATATTATTTAACCTAGTTACCACGCATCCATGCCGCCACGCCTTCGCCGTACAAAAATTTCGACGTTTACGGTGTTCACACCGTGGCGTTCAAATTATTGACTGTACCGGCTAAAAATTCGTCTTCGATTTTGGTGTTCAAATTTTGAACGCTTGAGCGTCCAAAGTTTCGTACGTTTGGCGTGGTTCCATGTGAACGAAACGCACGAATTTTCCATTGGTCGAAAATTTGAGAAACAGTTTAAAAGTTTAAAAAGAGGATCCTCCTAAGTTTCGTTAAATAACCCTTGTCTTGTTGGAAAAAAAAAAAAGAGAGATCGTAACGCTTGTAGCAGTACCGCCATTTTTATTTCAAGTTGATGGAGTCTGTTGATAGTGTTGCATGGAGATCATCACGTGACTTGTTATCCCCTCACAAGATATTGCTGCGCTCTTTTATCCTTTCCCACGGTATCAACGAACGTTTTTCATTCAATTAATTTGTTGTTGTTTTCTTTTTCACATTATCATGTTCCCAAACAACAGCGTAGACGTAGCTCAATCTTTTTGCGTATAAACCTCACACAATCCTAAATTTTCATTTATTTCCTCGAAATATAATTTTACAAAATTTTCACTTAATCATATAAAGGGGGAAAGTGTGAGTAAAGCAAATTAATTAGCTTCATTGACTACATGTTTATTTCTTCAGTACTTCTATACATGTTTATTTCAAATGTCTGGGTCAATAAGACTTGGTAAACCAAATTTTGCCATGAAAATTTTCGTTAAAGGTAATCACGATTGCCTTTTTGTCCAAACCTTTCTGAGGTTGGTTGGGGTGTAATAGCATGCGAGTGGGTAGACAAACCTATGGCTGTACAAACCTTGCTGAGGTTGGTTGGGGTGTAAAAGCGTGCGAGTGGGGAGACAAATCTATGGCTGTACAAACCTTCAACACTGCGTGAAAAAAATATTGACGCGTCTCTTTCCAAAGCACATAAGATAATTTTTAACTTAAGTCGACCTACGTTCATTTTGAACATTAGTATTTATGTACCTGCGTAAACAAATTCATTCTTGACTCTTCGCAGTTTCTTTATTTGCGCCTGGCTCAATGAAATTATATTGAAAGTTTTCCTGGAGGGAGTTGAAGGAGGCCGATTTAATGTCTCTGAGTCTTCTAGTCCCTCAAGGTTTTTTCACCCATTTAATCAATGGCTCAAAACTCAACAGCCACGCTTATGCGTTTATCGAATGGGAGGTGTCTATATAGCCAGTCTTTTTATTTATTGCACATGTTAACTGATACGAGAAGAGTGGTGTAATATTAACCCTTTGACTCCCAAGATCTGTAATTCTCCTTACTATCTGCCATACAATTCTTATGTTGTCAATTTGGAGAATTTGGTATTGGATCAATTCATGATCCCTTAACTGATATTTTACTTTGTTCTCATCACTTCTATGCTTGATATTGTATTGAGATTGTAAGGAGAAATTCTCTCTTAGTCACTAATGGGAGGTAAAGGGTTAAGAGTCCTTCACTAGTATGATCGGAAGAACTGTAAAGTAGGTATAGCACTATACTAGTCTGTTCGATATCATCTGAGTCTATTGAATGTCATTTGGGGTGTTAAGAGGGAATTTATGTAGAGATAGGTTTCCACTCTTGACGGTTGTAAACTTCCAATGGAAGGCGGCTTAATATTCTGGGCTATTTGTAGGTTGACGAGTAAGCTACTCTCTCAGACGGCTTATCACGAGAAATGACTTTGCAAATTTGACGGAGTTATGGATAATGTGAGTAGAACATCTTTAAGTTTGACGCAGTACTTAGCTTACCGCGGGGAATTAGGGCGGGGAGACAGCTGCTAACATTCCAGTTTTTTTTTTAAGAAGTTTGCTTTGCTGTTTTTGTTACTTTTTGCTATGCTCAGATTTTTTTCCTCTCTCGCTGCAGCACATTCCCGTCAATAAATTTCAATTCTATTGCTCTGTAACTCAGTAAACAGCATTTAATGTTACTTCAATCAAATTTAACAATTAAATGGGTCAATAACCCAATAAAAGTGACTGATTACATTATTTGGCTACAACTCCATTGTACTTATTGAAATTCTCCTCTAAATGTTTCATAAAATACACAATTTTAAAAACTGACCAATTAAAACAACAATAAAAAAAAGGAAACTCCTCTTTAACTTCTCGTTTTGCGATTGGAAAATTAATTTTAGTAGCATACTCAAAATATATTGTCATCCTTATGCATAAAAACTTTATCGCTTTCAAACGCACCCGGGAAAGATCTGTCGAAGTATTGGTAAAAATAATGTTAAATACTGGCTATAAACGCTAAAATCTGTTAATTTAATTCAGAAAAATCCAATAATCGTGATACAGAAACTGATCATAACTTGGTAAATTTCCTCCAAATGTTAATCACAATTTCCATTCAACTGAAAGTGAGATAATCGAACGATCACTCAACTGATTATTCTCCAGTTTCTATGAAAACATTTACACATGCACATGGTTTTGACAGCTGTATATCAGCCATAAGACAAAAACCGATTAAAAGAAAAAAATTATTAAAAATATTTTAGGGAAAACGGCGTTTTCCAGGTGCTTTTTAGCTTAAACGGAAAATTAATATAACCGGCCCAAAAACTTGTTTATAGATAACAAACTCACTCATGCTAGATGAAAATTTTTTTTACATAGCCAGTCACAGTAATTTCACGAAACCGCTTTTGAAAAAATTACTTTTAAGCTGGTTCGAGTCAGATATTAAAGATAAAAAACACTGCAAAGTCCTTTTTCTTTGACGTGTCCAAAATCCCTATAGCTTATAAGAACATTTAAGATAATAAGTAAAATATCAACTTGTGAAAGAGTAGAAATCCGCACGGACTCTCAAAGGCTCTTTCTGTTCTGCTTGCTTTGCATAGAAGTCTCTTACAGAGATTTTATTGGTATTCCTGTGGTTTCTGTTCCAAATGTCAACGTTTGTAGGCAAAGGTTTATTTCCTTGGGTATCGTCATCTCTATGATACAGCTCCAATGCTCGGTCCCTGAACTGAAAAATAAAAGAACCACAATAAGGGAGAATCTTTGAGTTTACATAAAATTTTTCATTCGGTTGTACGACAAGAAACGATACACTTCACAACAATTATTATCAATCTTATTTTCTATGAAAAACGTTTTCATCGTTAAGTCTGTAAAGTGTCGACTCAATTGTAAAGTATCTCAATTTCTTCGGGAAAAAAAAGCAATTCTTACCCACTAGACAACCAGGCACCCGTGCTAAAATATATAACCATACAATTTTGATTAAAAGCTACGTTGAATTGCATAAATGTTATGAAAAGAATAATTACATGGATCAGCAACTAGATGTCCTTGATATCAAGTTTGACGTCATCACCAATGAGTACAAATGGTGCCCAGTACTTCACCTCCTTGAACGTTCCAGATTCTCTCATACATCTCATGGCCTGATTGAGAGCTTCACTTGCCTTCTTGCCTTTAGCAAGTGCATCGTAAAAGAAACTCATGAACTCCAGGGTTCCTTCGTCATCTAACGCCCACAAGGCTACCACAACAGATCTAGCACCCGCACCCAGGAATGCTCGGGCGATGCCGACCACACCCTCGGCCATGACCTCCCCACGAGCACTGTGACAACAGCTTAGAACAACCAGTTGCGCCCGCAGCCCAGCTTCCATGACATCTTTCATCGTCAGTAGATAGTCCTTTTCTTCAGGCTGAGTGGTTTCTCTTGTAGTGTTTGGTGCCAAGATAACTTCCCCAGTTTCCATTTTACCATGCGCTGCAATATGTACCAAAGCCACTGATGACAGTCGTTTTAACACTTCTCCTTTTGTTGCCATTTCTCCAGTGAGGGGGGAAATACTGAGAATTCGTCCAATCATTTCCGCTTCTTCCCTTGCTCCTGGAAGTTGCACCAAACGTCTTCCCTGATACATGATCTCTTTGAAACATGGGTCGCCAACAAGCAATGCACCACTCTTCATGTGGAACTCAGCTGGGGAATCATTAATTAGTCGTAAGGTCGTCAGGGAAGGAAGCACACGAATTCTGAATGAATCACTCAGATAAGTTGAATTTGAGTCCTCTAATGCCGCATAGGGCACAAGAAAAAATGGACCCTCAGGAACAATTGTAAGCTCATTGCCTTTGATCAGATCAGCAATAGGAGTAACGATGATGTCATAAAGCTTCTGTAGAGCACTTAATTGTGAGTTCCTTACATCAACTTGAATCATATCGTTCGCCACTTTCTCCGGTTTCGGCGAGTAATGAGGAGGATTTTCGCATGCAACAGCATCTCTTGCACCAACCTCTTTCAAGGCAGTTTTGTTCAGTTGCTTGATGAAAAATTCCAATTCCTCCTTATACTTATAATTGTTCACATGTACCTTTCTCGATTGGATATTATCGTCGCTAAGGATAACCCAGAAGTGAACATAAGGTCCACTGATAGCTATAAAAATTGTACTTGATGGAACAAAACTAAGGAGAGCGAACGAAAAATCTCTGGGCTGATATTTTGAGGTTAGTAGATCTCTCAGAGCTTGAGCGCGTCCTCTCTCTGCGGTGAGAAGAGCATCAACAACTTCACCTTGGATTAGATTTATACGCCACAAGCCTATGTATGCGCTCCTATACCGATCACGATAAGTAATCTTCCACTGATCATTGAAATGCAGACTCGTCCTGATACTATCAAAAGCCTCTACACTAGAGTGAAAGCAGTCAAAGGCCCTCCTCAGTTTACCTTGACTGTGAAAACTTTGTCCAAGAAGAGAGAGTGAGGATGCCTCTCCGGCATTGTCTCCCACTTCTTTAGCAATTTCTAGACCACGTTGATTGTACTCGATTGCTGTTTTGAACTCTCCTAGACTACAATAAGCGCAGCCGAGATTGTAATAACTTCTTCCCTCTCCGGCCTTGTCTCCCACTTCTATAGCAATTTCTAGACCACGTTGATGGTACTCGATTGCTGTTTTGAACTGTCTTAGACTATCATATACGCAGCCTAGATTGCCATAACTTGTTCCCTCTCCGGCCTTGTCTCCCACTTCTATAGCAATTTCTAGACCACGTTGATTGTACTCGATTGCTGTTTTGAACTGTCCTAGGCTACAATAAGCGTGGCTGAGATTGACATAACTTCTTCCCTCTCCGGCCTTGTCTCCCACTTCTTTAGCAATTTCTAGACCACGTTGATTGTACTCGATTGCTGTTTTGAACTGTCCTAGGCTACAATAAGCGTGGCTGAGATTGACATAACTTCTTCCCTCTCCGACCTTGTGTTCCACTTCTTTAGCAATTTCTAGACTACGTTGATTGTACTCGATTGCTGTTTTGAACTGTCCTAGACTATCATAAGCGCAGCCAAGATGGCCATAACTTCTTCCCTCTTCGGCCTTGTCTCCCACTTCTTTAGCAATTTCTAGACCACGTTGATAGTACTCGATTGCTGTTTTGAACTGTCCTAGACTAAAATAAGCGCAGCCGAGATTGACATAGCTTTTTCCCTCTCCGGCCTTGTGTCCCACTTCTTTAGTTAATTTTAGACAACGTTGATGGTACTCGATTGCCGTTTTGTACTGTCCTATAACATAATAAGCTATTCCAAGATGGCTACAACGGATTCCCTCTGCGGCTTTTCCTCTCTCTACCTGAACCAGAAGTTTTTTTCTCTTGTCAATCTTGAAACGGGTCAAGAATAAATGGCTCATGCTTGGACGTGAGAAAGTTTCAGTAATAATGAGAATATTATACAACTGGTTGGGAAATTTTTTGTATATGACGCGGACGAGGAGCATTCTGTTTAATCTCTGCGAATTCGATATTATGGCCCCTTCTGTTCGGTAAAGTTTTGTGGAATAATGGAAATGATCTTTGAAAATATTTTAGTTTCTAATAGGTGTCAGGGAACACTGCTTGCATTGCCTTACGCATCACATTTGAAACACTCGTCAAAGGATACGGCCAATCCAATCTGCAACCAGCTCCTTATCTCTTCAAACAAGGATAGCTCGACACAAGCACTGGCTCCTGAGAGGGTAATAGTAAGCGTCGCAAGGTAAATAATTCACTACCGTCAACATCTAAATGTATCCAGAATATCGACTCACACCCCATTCACACTAGCAAAACATGTTTAGTTAAAAATGGTTTTCTGACTGAAAATCAGAAACAGAGAACTGGAAAGCTGAATTTTCCATCTAAGCAATAGCTAACTTGTATTTCAAATGTGTTACATTTTAAGTCGATAGACATGGGTTCGTGGAGCTTCTATGAAGAACAAAAATCAAACCGTGTTTGACAAAACAGCTTTAAATCATGTTTAAGCTTTTGATAGGTTTTGACTTGGTTTGGAAAATACTTTTTACCTACGTAGCAGATATTGATGCGTTGGATATCATTGACACCCGAGGTACAATCAGCTGCCTTAATCTATACAGTTCCCTCGGAGGAAATCTCAGAAAAGAGATTAGATGACTCATAGCTGAAATACGCACCTTTCTTTATCGCTTTGATCAAAGTGGGTTCCAATTGAACAGCAACTGTTGCATCATCAAGACATTCTTCGTAGTTTTCTGTGGAATTCAATAATTACTTGTAAGTCGTCGTCGCACGTGTTAATGATACACATGCAAAAATTTCAGCATGCTTATTGGCTGAGAGCACGTCAATTAATCCCAAACAGAGTAGAAAGTTGAAATTGAGTACAGAAAGTTTAAGTTAAATTAATTGACCGGTAAGCCGCGAAAGCAAAACAAAACATAATGAAGAAAGTAACTACGTTTTAACTCAAAGTCTGAGGGAGAATGCTAAAACTAAAAACGCACAACAAAGGAACAACAACTGGCTACCAGTCTGGCTTCCAAGAACGGATATGAAAGTATAAACCGGAGGCCCTTGTTAAAATTATCGATGAGTTTTACGCAACATTTTGCACGAAAGACGGGGGAGATTACGAGAGTGATAACTTTCGTGTGATGGTTACTGCTTTCGACCGATACATAATAGAGATATGGTACAAACACTCAATTATTCTCTATAGAGGTTTAAAAAGTTTGAAGAAAATTATTGAGGAAAAAGCCCAACCACTTTGGCAACAATTGGCGAGCCATGACACGAAATAAAGATAGCTAAAAAGGAAAACATAGTCATATTTTTGCTCGTATATTTTAACTAGTAATCACATGAGTTTTTTGCGTGCAGTTTAGAACAAATTAGCACTCGTAAATTTCAACGACAACAAATTGCACTCGCCCTACGTGCTCGTGCAATTTGGTCAGCCTTTGAAAAATTTACTTGCGTTAATTTGTCTCAAATAGCACTCGAAATCATGTGATTTCCTAGACAAATAGAGACTATTCCATGGAAACTGCGTGAACGATTTTTAAAGGGGGCAAGCTTCTAAAGGAACTGTGGTGCTGCGTGGGTTAGAGAGTATAACAGGGTGATTTAGTCGATCCCCTTGAAGCTTCAAAATCAACGTCTGCAATTTGAAAAATTTTCAGTTCGTAACTGAGGAAAACTCCGAGCCATTATCTCTGTTGTATAGCTAACAAAATCCTACGATTCTCAGAATGCTGTTATTTAGAGCGAGTTCTAAACTCGAAAATTTTGACTAGTTCTGCTATGTAGCATTTGACAATGAGATCTCCCTTTTGGCCCACGCCTTATGCCGAAATTTTACCATTCAAATCTCCGATATCATTGTTAATGTCACACGTGCTAATGATTCCAACCTCACTCTCAATGAAAATGTCTCCTCTGGACTCGAAACCACACGTGAGCGATATTAAATATCCATGAGAAAACCTCAACAGGTCACAAGCAATTTGCACAAATGTGATTCACTCGATTGGCGAGGTTGGACGTAATGCCATGTAAGAGGGCTATAATCTTGGATTATTAAAAAATACGATAAGAACTTCCCAAAAATGCGCTGAAAGATTACTTAAGAATTGTTTCTTTTAGGGAGCATTTCTGCGTGTTTGTTATACATGAAATGTTCATTTTGTCGATTTCATTTGGGTAATGAGGTGAGAAAGATGCACAAAGCGCAGGAAAGACAACAGGAGTGGATAAAATCCTGTTTGAAATGGATACAGATTATGTATTTCGTTATTTCGGCTACGTAAAGATTTTAGAAGTTTCAAAAACAATTCTTACCCAAATGGAAATAAGCTGCTGCCCTGTTGCTGTAAAGTTTGGCGTTCAGCCGTATATCTTTGCAGTTCACTTGAAGTCCTTCCGTGTAGAAGTTTATCGCCTCCTTAGTTTCTCCTTGTTTGTATTTCTTGTTACCTTCCTCGAGACATTCTTTTGCTATGCCTGAAACACATCGGCTGGTTGTTAAGAATTTAGTAATGAATGAAGCGACCCTAGACGGATAATGCAAACTTTTGCTTGACGAAGTAGCTTGTAGGTCATACAGAAACTTAAAACTCTACCGAAATAAAAGGAATTCAGAAACAATTACTCTCGCATTTAATTTGCTCAAGAAAAATAAACTTAGTAAATGGGAGTCTTAACTGTAGCGCATCTACAGAGCTTAATTCAATCGATTGAAATTTAGCCAGTGAATCTTTCACAGGAACCTCTTCTACAACATTAAGTAAGGATTAGCTCGATTGGAATTTATAACTTAAGTCTGATAAAAACATCGTCCTTTCACTTTATAGTTCTCTTCACAGCCGTTTTTTGGGATGTTACGCTACGTCCCCCCCCCTGCGAAACCCTAAACACGGATGCAAAGGAAAACAGCGGTCAACCTTCGGGCATGCGCAAGGGGATCAATTCTGACCGGCAGCGCGCCAGTTTCCCACGCAAAAATGAGAAACACGATCGCTGTCTTGCAAAATAAGAAAAAGAGAATTGAAACATTCATCCTAAATCTGGTAAAGGAGACAAAAGTAAAGAAAGGGAAAACTTAAGTATTTTTGTTTCCTGTTCATTTACCTTTCTATTTTGAGGTTTACCAAAATAGTTATACGGTTTTGAAACACCATACGTGACTGACTGTCTTTTATAGTTTTTTTTAACCCCTGTTAGACAACTTGGTTCTTATAGCCTGTATGCACCTGACCTAGTTTTTACAACATTGGTACATATGCAGACGTTTGAGCGCTGTGCTTTCCGTTTTACACTATCGATTGTGAACTTCCTAGAACTTTCTGTTCCAAACAGCTGAAAGATAATTTGAGATAAATCAGGACATGTGAAATTATTCATCTATGACTGGAGACTTAAAAGAAAAACACCAAGGGGCGTATTTCAAAGAATCTAATTTCTCACCTCTTAAAGGGTCATCGTCTACCCCAAGTTTTGTCTCACTTGAAGTAACTTGACTTTCGTTTGACGCTGAAATTACCAAAAATATTTTTTTATTTGATATTATACCACATATGTGCAATTCCAACCGGTGCTTTAGTTCGATTTTTCTCTTTTAGTTCCTTGGAAAACCAGCGTTTCGTTTGTTTCCTAAAACCTTCAAGTGTAAACGGTCCAAAAAAATCTGCACCGAACAAAACATGTAATCACTTACTCGATTACCAAATAGCCGTCTTACTGAATTGTTTTCTCTCACCTGTGACTGGAAGCTCATTGTTTAAGTCTAGATCCTTTCCTTTTGTTAGGGGATTACCTTCCGCCATAGCTGGAAAATAAAATGAAATTGATTGTACTGCGCCAGAGAACATCGTCACAAAACAATAAAGGCGGCTCAAATGAAGGTAATTGAAAGAGAGCACAATAGACCACCTGTCTCTGTTACTAAAATATAACAAAAGAATGAGAATTTCAAGGTTTTAGCCGTCATACTACTGTGGTCTCGTGACCGCACGAGTCAAATTCCACTTTTTATTTCGTGTTTGTTCATTCGTTTGTTTGGTTGGT